GGAAATAACAGACAGTAAGAACTGATTACTAAATATCAGGTGTTAAAATTATCAGACACCAATTATAAGACAGCTATATTTATTGTTTGAAGAAATTAAAATGAGCTTGAAGATAATCTGCAGGGATTATAGAAGATTTGAAAAGATCCAAATGAGCAATATGATTATCAAATGAAAATTCAGTGGACAAATTTTGTAGCAGTTTGAACACAGCAAATTAGTAAAATTAGTAAACTGGAAGATAGATCAGAAGTCATTATTCAGAATATAGCACAAAGAGACAACATGCTGGAAAATACAGATGAAATGAGTACATACTGTATGATTCCATTTATTTAAATTTCAAAAACAGGAAAAACTAAAAATTTGTATGCAAGATGCATACATGAGGGCCTTTTGGGGGGTGATTATAAGGTTATATTTCTTGACTTAAGTAGCAGTGCATGACTGTACATACATGTTTTATGAACTTTTCTGTGTATTATGCTATGTAATAAATAATAACAAAGATTTTTAAAAATCAACTTGGTGATTATTTTAAAGATAAGGAAATTAAGACCCAGAGGAGTTAAGTGGCTTTACAATCTTTTGACTTCATTCTAATGTTTTTGCTATTACTCCCAGCAGCCTTTTCTCTGCCGTTTATTAAAAACTTATTTTCCAGTTATTATAACTGTGTACATTTAAGTTTCACCTTGTTGCTTTGAGGTAGAATGCAGTTTGTACTTTCCAAATAGATTCTTTTGTAGAATGACTTTGGTGGAATGGGGAAGTTGATTAGTTTTTTGCACCTGAATTTTTAGATTTCATTTGTGGAAGCTGTGCTACATATATTTTTGTATAATGAAGTAGATGTCGTAAAAGCTGGTTGTCTTTCTTTTTATTTTCAGAAGGAGAAGTCTTTACCTGGGGTCATAATGCTTATAGCCAGCTGGGCAATGGGACAATTAATCATGGTTTAGTGCCCTGTCAAATCTCTACTAATTTGTCAAACAAACAAGTCATTGAAGTTGCCTGTGGGTCTTACCATTCTTTGGTGCTAACATCTGATGGAGAGGTGAGAATAGTCAGCTTAAAGCTCATTGATTTTTTTCAATAAGATTATGTAGACTTCTATAGTAGTCCTGGAAATACAGTCATTTGATTAAAATAACCTCCCTCAAATTCAGCCTTATTTTTGGTAGCAATTCACAGTCAGGGTATTTTTTTTTTTTTTTTTTTTTGAGACAGAGTCTCGCTCTGTCGCCCAGGCTGGAGTGCAGTGGCCGGATCTCAGCTCACTGCAAGCTCCGCCTCCCGGGTTCACGCCATTCTCCTGCCTCAGCCTCCCGAGTAGCTGGGACTACAGGCGCCCACCACCTCGCCCGGCTAGTTTTTTGTATTTTTTTAGTAGAGATGGGGTTTCACCGTGTTAGCCAGGATGGTCTCGATCTCCTGACCTCGTGATCCGCCCGTCTCGGCCTCCCAAAGTGCTGGGATTACAGGCTTGAGCCACTGCGCCCGGCAGTCAGGGTATTGATGTTGTGACATTTATCTGTACGTAGTAAGGTCTTCCATAATTGCAAAATTTAAAAGAAGGTGTTGTTCCTTCCCTGTTGCTGTAGTAAAGAGGTTATTTGCAATAAGAAAATTCCCCAAATGCTGAAAAAGATGGCTAGGGCAAAGTAGATACTTTTGTGTTACGTGTTATTTAATAGTAATTATTACTGTTCATATAGATAACACCAATAACCTAATTTTATAAAATCATGTACATTGTGTAAGAATGAATTTTGTAAACACTTCTCTGCCTGTGTTGTAAGGATTTATAGATCTGAAGCACTTTGAGAGGGAAGACTCGGTGCCACAAGTACATGTCAGTGTCCAGTTGAGACACTTTATAAATTAATGTGTTTCATTTACTGATCTTTCCTTTAAACAGGTATTTGCCTGGGGTTATAATAACTCTGGGCAGGTAGGATCTGGATCAACAGTTAATCAGCCAATCCCTCGAAGAGTCACTGGCTGCCTACAGAATAAAGTAGTTGTGACCATAGCCTGTGGGCAGATGTGCTGCATGGCAGTAGTGGACACAGGGGAGGTAAGGAAGTTATTTTACATCTTGCTTAAAACCCTGTTTGCCACATCAGTCTCATTCTAGTATGGTATGTCCCACATAACAGACAACTTGCTGGCTGTTTATCTCTTGAGAGGATTGAGGGTGTCATTTTTCTTAGGTCTATGTCTGGGGTTACAATGGAAATGGGCAGCTCGGACTTGGCAGCAGTGGCAACCAGCCAACCCCTTGCAGAGTGGCAGCTTTGCAAGGCATCCGTGTCCAGCGGGTACGTCCACTGTCAGTTTGTGTGCGTGTGTTTTTAAGTCTTCACTGGCAAAGATATCAATATATTAAAAACATAGATTTCTTGGCAGGATGAAAAGTTTAGCTGCTTGTATGTCTTCATTAAAATAAAGGTTAAATCTCTTTTTCCTTGAATTAAATTGCAGCTGTTCAGAAAATTTCTGTTCCAGGGCACTGTCACATACCTTTTGGAATATAAATTGTTATAAGCTTTCCTGAGGAAGCTTGGCAGGGTGTACAAGAGCCTTAAAAGCCTTTCTATCCTTTGACCTGTAGTTCTACTCCTAGGGAATTTCCCTGAGGAACCAACAGTTCCTGTAACTCTCTTACAGAATTAGTTAAGAAGATATATATATATATATATATATATATATATATATGTATATATGATAACTTTAATAAAAACAATAGGTGTAACAGAATTTATTAATCAAATTGTAAGTTAATGATTAGCTAAATTATGCCAAGTGTATGTGCTGGAGATGATGTATACAAAGAATTTTTAATGATATGGGAAACTGCTATGTGTAATGTCTAATAAAATGAAGCAAGATACAGAACTGCTTATACAACATGGTCAGTAAAAAAAAATGCTATAGGTGCATATCTCTATGTCTATATAGAAATAGAAAAAAAAAGCCTCTGATCTTCAGAGAACTTTTATAATTATATTTTTCTATATTTTTCAAATTGAACCTGGTTTACTTTTATAATCACAAAAGAAAATAATTATTTAAAAAATACAAGTGTCATTTCTGACATTCCCCTCGTACCCCTTGATTTCTGTGAGCATTAAAGCTCCAGTGAACCGAGGCAGGTGCTCACGCCAGGGGACTCATGGCAGTCTTACTGCAGTTCTGGCCCACATGTTCTGGAAGAATGTTGGTTACCTTAATGCTTGCCTCTACGGGTAGGCTGCCTCTTTCTTTTTTTCATTTTTGTTTCTTAACCTACTTTGTGGAAGCAGTGAAATAATGACTTCTGTTTGCAGTCCTGAGTGGATTTTTTTCCTTCTAGGTCGCCTGTGGCTACGCACACACATTAGTATTAACAGATGAAGGCCAAGTGTATGCTTGGGGCGCCAATTCTTATGGGCAGTTGGGCACTGGCAATAAAAGCAACCAGTCCTATCCTACTCCCGTCACTGTGGAAAAGGACAGGTAACATGGCCATTTTCACAGTCCCCACACTGGTCTTTGGTGATTGTGATTAAACAGGACTTAGACATAGAGAGAATGGTGGGGAATGTACTGCTAGTGTTAGAATATTATTTAACAAGAGTATTTATTCCTTTATAAAAATTGGCTTTGGAATTGTTGGGGAGATTGATTGTATGTTAAATATGCTATTTTCACTTACCCATGTTTCCTCTATACCTCCAACAGCTATTCTAAGCAAACTGCAATGACTAAACTTGCAACAGCTACTCTGTTACTCTTCTCCCTTACAAATCACCCTTTTGCCCTCCTCCTTTCCCTGTTTTACATTCTTAAGGTGATATCGATAACATTTGAGGTCGCTCTTCCCTGGCTTAGGAAAAGGTACCTTGCATGGGGTATAAAGCTGGTCACTCAGCTACATAGAAAATTTGCCGGTTGAAAAGGATGAGGTTATTTCATTACTTTTAACTCCCAAGCTGTCACTATGAGGAAGAGTAAAATGGTTAGGAAATTAAGATTTAGTTTTGTGCACTTGTTTGCAAGGTTGTGTTATGTAATTAGCACATCCAGAATTAGTTTCCATGTTATTCTGTTATTTTTGAAAGCCTTTGGAATTTCTCAAGCATGGTCAGATCGCTGCCTTTTCGCTTTCCATTTCTTAACAGTAGTATAGAGCAAAAACGTTTCATTATCTTTTCTTTTAAACCAGGGTTGCAGTCATCGTAGAAATGAATGCTGCTATTTTTACTGCATATATCTTTATTACATTTGATTTTAAAAGAAATATATAGACAAACAGATTAGCTCGCACTTATATGCAGTGTTTTTCTAATTTTCTGTTGGAATACTTAACAATGTAAATGAGGAATGAAATTGCCATTTTTCAGCTGCCTCAGTTTTCATTTGAGTATTGTGAACTTGGCTGACTTTCTTTAACCTACGTTTTAAAAGTTTTATTTAACCAATTTAACATAGGTTATTTTAATAGGTTAAATAAAACTTTTTTTGTCAAAACCCTTAAAATTTAAGACCCCTGACCCCTTCAGAATAGGGAGGAGGGACAATAATGGAGGCAGGAGGTGGTTCAGGCAGATGCCTGCAACTGTTCATTCACACATCTTGTAAGGTAGCTTAGAGCTCCTCAGAAGAGAAGGGACAGTCCTGAGGCTTTGAATAACCACAAAAGTACCTCAGTTGATAGGGACACTTAATATTTAAACTGAAAAAACAGAGTTAAAGGATCAAATAAAGATGGCATGGAAATAAAAACGATGGATTTGTATGGCCTGTTTTTATTTTTTTATTTTTTTATTTTTTGAGACACAGTCTCCCTGTTGTCCAGGTTAGAGTACAGTGGTGCAATCACGGTTCATGTAGTCTTGACTTCCCAAGCTCAGGCGATCCTCCCACCTCAGCCTCTGGAGTAGCTGGGACTCCAGGAGTGTGCCACTATGCCTAGCTAATTTTTTTGTGTGTTTTTTTGTAGGGCCAGGGTTTTGCTACGTTGCCCAGGCTGGTAGCTCCTGGGTTCAAGCAATCCTCTTGCCTTGGCCTCCCAAAGTGCTGGGATTACAGGTGTGAGCCACCGGCCCATTACTTTTTATGGTGCTCCCACACTTACCCAAAACTTTAGCACATCTGTCCCTGGTCTCATGGAGTCTGCCATCATTGCCCACCAGTGACTTGCTGCATTGCACTGCTGGTCCCTGATCTGGAATGATCGCCCAAGGCCTCTGACTCACATTCTCACTGGGGCAGATGGATTGTGGGGTATCAAGGTAGGAGAAAGACAAAGCAGCAGAGAAGCAGGTAATGGGAATGGAAGCTGTGTGAGTGCCAAGTTGCGTAACTGGATGTTGGGAGTTATCTATTGCATTTCTGTCTTTCTTAAACTGCAGTTATTTTTGAATTATAATTTGGCTATAAAAATCATGGATGGGCTAGGCGCTCACGCCTGTAATCCCAGCACTTTGGGAGGCCGAGGCGGGCGGATCACCTTAGGTCAGGAGTTTAAGACCAGCCTGGCCAACATGGTAAAACCCTGTCTGTACTAAAAAGGCAAAAATTCGTTGGGCGTGGTGATGCATACCTGTAATCCCAGCTGCTTGGGAGTCTGAGGCATGAGAATCCCTTGCCCGTGGAAAGCGGAGGTTGCAGTGAGATCATGACACTGCACTCTAGCCTGGGCAGTAGAGTGGGACTCTGTCTCAAAAAAAAAAAAAAAAGGATGGATGAATGTTTTAAACGAGATGTTCCTGATTTTCTGTTTTCTGTACTTGAATTTCAAGTGGTGATTTCTGAACTTGCACAGTTTCAACCGGGCACTCAATCACAGGCGTATTGCAAGGGAGGGGTTTATAGGTCTGTGCTGGGACTTGTTCTGCACTTCTCCACCCTTTCCAGGAATGGAAAGTCAAGTATATGTCATAACTTATCCCTCAGGAACCCGGGAGCCTTACTTCTGACTCTTCTGGGGCCCATTACAGGAAAGCCTGACTAATTAGGAACTGGATTGAGTATGGGGTGGGGTGGGGTTCAGTGCTTAGTTATCTGTTCACAGAAGTGGGAAGGAGAAATCTGTCTACATTGTTTTCTTTGCTGGAACAACCATCCAAGGGAAATCTTTTAAAATCTTTCCCAGAAAAAGATTCTATGTATGATGGAGAATACTGGTATTTGTCAGCAATTTATGTTTACATAAATATAAATTCAATGATTAAAATGATTGTCTTCTCCTAATCCAGTCATTCCCAATCTTTCTGAAGTTTCAGTACCTTGGCCACAGATTGACCAACGTTTGTATCTTTGTTCTTAATGTTTCCTAACAGCATATTTTAAACTAAACTGATGTAAAGCTATCTTTTCCTTGAATTTCTGAGAATTCTTTGACTTCTGAGGTAGTTGGTATAATACTTGGGCTCTGACAAAACCAGGATTGGGAATCCCTGCTGTGGATCTGTCATCTTTGCCGTTTCTTCTCCAATATTCTTGTCCCTCACAGATGACCTTTCACCCCTCCTTGAGGTTTTCTGGTTTCTATTCTTTCTCACTCTCTGCTTTTTCATTTCTAGTACTTCATATCCAATAAGCTCAGTGCTTGTAGTGGATCATTCCCTTGAGGTGACACAAAACCTGTTTATTATCAACATGTAGTGAATTTTTTTTCCCATTAGATTGGCTACGAAATAAAGTGTGAAATATGCCAGACATCCTGACAGTAAAGGTTAGCTCAGTTGCTAGTCATTGTCTGTTGCATGTCTGACTGGAAAATTGGAACATCAGCACTTACTGCTTGGTATGAGTCCAGTTTAAAAACCGATGATGACTTAGGCAATGGCAGGGTTCCTTAGCAGTTGCTTGGATCACAAGCTTAGACCTGAAGGTACCCTCTAAACTTTCTCCACTCTCATTCCTGTAGCAGCTACTGCAGCCAACCAAATCCGCGTCCCACCCCTGACTTCCCACGTGGAGCCGGGTGTGCCGGGTATACGTCACAAGGCCATGCCCGGGGTCGGGCGGCATCATGTGGCCTTCCCCGACCCACCCTTTGGCTGTCTGTCCCAGCCCTTCTCTAGAAAGTAGTGTCCCACTTCAGGTCACCAGCTGCTCTAGGGGCAGAGGCTACGCCCTTTCATGGACGCTAATAACAAATAACGTATCTCAGAAGGGAACATAGGAACTGCATTATTTGGCTTTTCTGATGTTGGGCAGATCAGTGAAGGATGCTGTTGTGCTCCAGTCACTGACATTTTTCATAGAACATTACCCCAGAGTACACAGAAATGATTCCAAAAAATATAGAAGTCTTTGCCTAGTAAGTCACTGCAGAAGTGCTGAAATCTGAAGAAAGGAAGAGCAGTTCATGAATGCCCATCTCCACGTTGTTCACTGGGCTGTCCTAACCTCCCCTGCTCCCAGAGAATACCAGATGGCTTTACAATTGAGGTGGTTCAAACGCAGAAGGCCCTTTTTCCTTTTATTAATTGCTCAGTTATCTGAACATGGGCCCCCACCCCTGCCACCTGGCCAGCGTGGCTTCTGCCTCCCTCGGCACTGCCAGGCGGGTGTTTTCTTAGACTCATCCTCTGGGCCACCTTCAACTCCTCTCCCTCCCTCTGCATTAACATCCAGGCCACCCTCATTAGTCCTTGGCAACCTAGCTTGGGTTGGCCTCCCCAGCCAGCCTTCCAGGCTGTTCTTTCTCTCCCTTGCAGCCTGTCTTGCACACCACTGTGACCAGGTCCATCTTTCTGAGAATACCATTTCCTCACATCATGGCCCTGTTTACAAAGCTGTTTCCCATTTGCCTATCACATCAGATCAAATCGGAACTCTTCGGCTCTGGATTGAAGCCGACGCCACTGTTCCTGGCAAGCCTCGTTGCCCTTCGATCCCGGCGTTGGCCTCCGTCCCTGCCAGGCCTCGTACGATGCTGCTCTCTGGCGTCCTGCCATCTCCAGCTCTGCCTGCACGTTGCTCCTGCATTTCTCTCCACCTCATAAGACTCTTATTCCACAGCGCTGGCCAGGCCAAAGCATACATGGCCCAGTTAGCTCCCTTTTACTTGAAATATTCTCTGAGGAGCCCCTAGGTATTTTTCTTTACTCACCAGAGACTTGTAGTCAGGGCCACACTGATATCATTTGGGAATTATTTGCAAAGTCACAGCTCTGGACTTCTCTCTCCAGCTACATCATGAGTTTCTCAGCTAAATCACAGGCCCACAGTTCCTGCTGCAGCTGGTAAACACTTTCAGTCACGGAAGGAAGCCTTTTTCGGTTCTCAGCTCTGCCAAGGAACTTATTTCATGTACACAAAACCACAAACTGTGAGAGGATTGCTGCCTGTATCCTGTTCCCCCTCATCTTTTTTTTCTTTAAAAAGATGGTAAAGCTGATTATAAGAATTTAAGTAACATGGCCCTAGAACTATACTCTGACTCTGAGCCCTGTGTCCTGCCCACAGCACCAGGCCACGAAGACGTACCACGTCGCTACCCTCACATTTGCTTGTAACTTAGGAGGCTTGCTAATAAAATCGATGGTAACAGTGGATATACTTCTCTTTTAATACATTTATTCTATTTCCTTCTCCCATTTTCTTTATTTGTTGAAAAGAATGTGCTGATTGAGAAGCCAAGTATTATTAACCATTTTCCCCATCTGTCATGGTTCTTTTGCATAGCACTGGATTAGGCCGGGGGACTGGCCTAACCCTGCAAATATCAGGAAAAAGATTCTTCTAGGGGAAGTCTTACTAATCTGAATTGATCACTAGAAATACATAGTCTCTACCTAAAGGACGCTTTGTCACTTAAAATGCCAAGTAGTTGTCATAATGTAAAGAAACCTCCATTGCCAGGCAACCATTTGCACCCGGACATTGTGCCTGGTTGCACTTAACATTTTATCATTTGATTCTTACACCAGCCCTCCAATGTGATGAAACCAAGGCTCCTAGGTGCTAAGTGACATTCCCCTAGTCATGCAGCCTAGTGGTAAAGCGGAGATTCAAGTCTAGTTTTTGTTTTCCTTTGAGCTGGAGCTGCAATTAAAAAAAAGAAGAAAGAAAGAAAGAAAAAACAAACCTAGGTTTGTTTGACTCCAAATCCTGAGCTCTCCACTGTGGGCCATCGTAGCCTCTTTTCCTCTAGTATTTGTGTGTGGTTTTCAAGGGCTAAGAACGATCCTCTGATAAGTCAGTGAAATTGCCACCCGTGAGAATAGCATGTCTCAGCCTCTGAGGCGAGCCGGCACAAGCTCCAGGTTCTGTGATGACACCTCCCTCCTGGTCTGGGGGCAGCTGCCTAAAGGAGGCAGCGTGGGATCATCCTCACCCTTCAGGTGCTAGTCCATGCCAGTGGGGCCGTACACAACTCTCGTTTGCTCTGTGTTGTTGAGTCTTCCTCAGTCAGCAAAGTGACCCACAGATTATATTCAGTGACACCACGCTATGTGCTTAGAGAGAATTAAGCCAGTGATTAGGCCTGTCAGAAACTGGCCATCGCGCTGAACAGGTGAAACGGATGCATAAAGAGTAACAGGGCCAGGCTGGAGTGGTGTGGACAGGAAGTGCTGCAGGAGCTCAGGTGAGCGGGAGACCTCAAACTTGGGGTGTTTGAACTGGGCCTTAGAAGATAGGTAGGATTTGTAAGGCAGAGAGAAAGAACATTCCTGAACAACCATGGATGAAGCCATTGAAGGGCAGTGAGAAAGCCCGTTTGTTGAAGCAGGGTGTGTGCACAAAAGTGACTTGAGAGCTGGCTGTTCAGAAGTGACGCCGAAGCATGGATGGGGTTATGTCTTGTGTCAGGATTTTATCTGAGGGAAGCCGCTGCCCGTGTGAAAGTTCTGATGAGAACGGTGTTCCAGGAGGATGGTTAACCTGCCAGCACTGTGTGAGGTGGGGCAGAAGGGAGAGTCTAAGGCAAGGGAGACCTGGGAGGCTGTTACAGGGCCCAGATGCAGGGTGTGCCTGACCCCCCAGTGGTGGCTGAGGGGAGACATTACAAAGCATCTTTGTTATTTAACTGGATATTCTAAAGAAAATGGTAAATACGGAGGGAGAAGTCAAAGACGACCCTGAAGTTCTGAGCCTAAGTCTGAGGATGCTGGTACCATTGTCTGCTGTAGCAAAATCAAGATGGGGACTTCCCCTGAGTTAAAAGAGTTTACCCTTTTCCTTTAATCTGTATGGTGGCTTATTCTGATAGAAAAGAAATTACTTCCAGAACAACAATGTTTTTCCATTAAGAAGTGTTCCAAGGCCGGGTACTGTGGCTCACACTTGTAATCCCAGCACTTTGGGAGGCCAAGGTGGGCGGATCACTTGAGCTCAGGAGTTCAAGACCAACCTGGGCAACATGGCAAAACCTGGTCTCTATAAAAATTAGTCAGGTGTGGTGACTTGCATCTGTAGTCCCAGTTACTACGGAGGCCGAGGTAGGAGAATCGCTTGAGCCTGGGAGGCAGAGATTGCGGTGAGCCAAGATCTGAGATTATGCCACTGCACTCTAGCCTGGGTGACAGGACACTGCTCGTCTGTCTCAAAAAAAAAAAAAAATGTTCCGAGAACTACCTCCTCGTCAATCATGAACTTAGAGCAGTAGGGTGTATCACATGGTGATCCTAGAAAACTGCTCTCCTGGGTTTCAGGTCATACAGTCCAGTGTGGTAGAACTACTGAATTTACTCTGTGCAATAGGAGTTGGAATAGCGTGCTAGAAATCGGTGAAGTCTTCATTAAAATATTTATTTATTGGCCCTCAGTCCAGATGACCCAAATCTTTATTATTTTCTTCAGTAAGTAATGTTTTAGGGGAAAAAATTTAAACCACCCTTTTTTGGTGGGGGGACCACTACTCTCTTGGGTTATACTTGAATTTCAAAATAGGATGGTACATATTTTTATAGGCCTACTGGCTAGAAGGGGGTACAAATAGATCTTCATGAGTTATAAGTGCCATTGAAGTGTGGCTTAAATGTGAATAACGGTTTGGTGCCTGATAATTTAGGAGATGAGGTGTATGAGTCATGTGGTAGTTTTTGTTTTTTGTTTTTTTTCTTTTCCTGACCCTTTTTGTAATTTTATGATGTCCCACATCAGTTAAACCTGAGTGGGGGAGGATACAACTTGTTTCTGCCTCTGGTCACTGTGCTTATGTGGTGTGTATTTGTGAATTTAGGATTATCGAGATTGCAGCCTGTCACTCCACACACACGTCTGCAGCCAAGACGCAGGGTGGGCACGTGTACATGTGGGGCCAGTGCCGGGGTCAGTCCGTGATCCTCCCGCACCTCACCCACTTCTCCTGCACCGACGACGTGTTTGCCTGCTTTGCCACTCCCGCCGTCTCGTGGCGCCTTCTCTCCGTGGGTGAGCTAGTCACTGTCCATTTGGGGGATGGCCCGAAAATCTGGGAAAGAACTCAGGGCTTTACTTCGATAATGAGGATTTTGTTAGGTGCACTCTCATAATTTATTTCTCTCTGATGGGCTTCTGTAAAAGGGAACTAATTTTATTTTCTTCAAAGCATCAGAAACCAACACTAGTACTAAACTAAAAGTAATTTTATTTGACTGCTTTTTTTTTTTTCTTTAAGAGAGAAAGATGGGTCTTGCTCTGTTGCCCGGGCTGGAGAGCAGTGGTGCAATCGTAGCTCACTGTACTCTTGAGCGCCTGGACTCAAGCAATCCTTTTGCCTTAGCCTGTTGAGAAGCTGGGAGTATGGGTACCCACTACCATGCCTGGCTAATTTAAAGAAACTTTCTGTGGAGGTGGGGTCTCGCTGTGTCACCCAGGCTGGTCTTAAACCGTGAGCCTCAAGCCATCTTTCTGTCTCCACCACCACCAAAGTGTTGGGATCACAGGTGTGAGCCATTGTGCCCTGCCCTTATTTGACTGCTTTTTAATTTTACCGAGAAACTGTGTCTTTTGCTTTTAGCTAGCATATTTGCTCAAATGTTTAAAATTTCATTCAAAATTAGTGATATGGCTTGGGACTTTTTTTTATTATTTTGCCAGATTTATAAGCCGATGTGTGTGAGATTCTTATCCTTACAGAGATGCGTATCTGTCTTCAGGGGAAAAAACCCATTGCTCAGTTGCTCAGTTATTTTGAGGAATTCGTATTTTCATGAGCATCGGTAGAGCAGTGCCATACCCTGGCCTGCATGTTCATTATGTCTGTAGCTAACCTGGAAGCATTTGCATTATTGTCCTAGAACCCGATGACCATCTCACAGTGGCTGAGTCACTGAAGAGGGAATTTGACAACCCGGACACCGCAGACCTGAAGTTTCTGGTTGATGGAAAGTACATTTATGCACATAAAGTCCTTCTCAAGATTCGGTAAGGAATCATTTATTTTGAGAATTGAGAAAAATAATTCATTCAACAATTGTATTCTGAGTGTCCAACTCTTATTAGGCACCTCAGTAATAAAGAAAAAATACAAGGCTGTTTTTGCTCTTACAAGCATACAGTGGAGCGGGGGGAAATATACGTGAAACAAGAAATAACATAGGTTGTGTGTGGTTCAGGGGATCAGGACCGTAGGTGATCCTGAGGCCTGAAAAGTGGGGTGGTCACCTTGGCAGCAGGGAGCAGCCAGTGCACCCTGCAAATGTGTCCTGTGCTCTGAACACCGTACTGATACTTGGACGTCCATCAGTTACCCTCTCTGCCTGGGAATCAAGCTCGGCTCATAATAATCACTTTCTTTAATCACTTGTGGGGTACTTTTAGATGGTTTAAAAAAGAGAAGATCGAGGCCTTTCCAGACCAAAAAGGTCTGTAGTGAGGCTAGCACAGAGATTTTAAAAATCACATTTGTGAATGTTTGTGAGCAATGAGCTGTGTGCCTTTCAAGTGTGCAGTTTGATGGGTGCTGACACATGTCCACGCCTGTGAAACCGCTGCCCCACATCCAGATAGAGAACATTCCCACCACCCTTCAGAGAGCCCTCATGTCCTAGCCCTGGGTGACCGTGGCTCCTTCTGTCACTGTAGATGAGTTAGCATGTTCTGGAGCGTATTTAGATGGGATGATACAGGATGCATTCGTTTGTGCCTGGCTGCTTTCTCTTACATGATGATTTTGAAATTCTTTATGTTGTTGTGTAACAGATATTTAAATCCTACCGCAGTGAGTCACAAACTCAACACAGCATTTTAGTCTCAAGTTCCTCTTTAGTAAGGTCAAGCTATGCAGCATTTGTTCACTCTCTCTGCATCACATCAACCTGCATGAAGGAAGGGGGGTGGATTAGTTTGCTGTCACAAAGTACTATAGGCTGGGTGGCTTAAGCAACATAAAGTTCTGGAGGCTGGAAGTCCCAGATCGAAAGTGTCAGCCGGATGGGTTTCTTCTGCGGCTGTGAGTGAGAATCTGTTCCTGCCTCTTTCCTGGCTGCTGGGGGTTTGCTGACAGTCTTTGGCCTTCTTTGGCATGTGGCTGCCTAACTCCAGTCAGCATGTGGCATTCTCCTTTTGTGCATGTCTGTGTCCAAATTTCCCCCCACTTTTTTTCCTTTTGTTAGACGGCAGAGTCTTGCTCTATTGCCCAGGCTGGAGTGCAATGGCGCGATCTCGGCTCACTGCAACCTCTGCCTCCCAGGTTCAAGTGATTCTCCTGCCTCAGCCTCCCGAGTAGCTAGGATTACAGACGCACGCCACCATGCCTGGCTAATGTTTGTATTTTTGGTAGAGATGGGGTTTCACCATATTGGTCAGGCTGGTCTCAAATTCCTGACCTCGTGATCTACCCACTGGCCTTCCAATGTGCTGGTATTGCAGGCGTGAGCCACCGCACCCAGCCCAGATTTCCCCTTTTTATAAGGATGCCAGTCACATTGGATTAGGGCCACCCTGGTGACCTTCTTATAACTTGGTTACCTCTTTAAAGGCTCTCTCTCCCAGTAAGGTCGCATTTTGAGGTATTGGCCATTAGGACTTCAACACAGGAATTTTTAGAGGACATCATTCAACCCATGATGGAGTGAGGAAACAGAACTACTTAGATTTTATAAAAATAAACCCACTGATTTCTC